TGTGAAGTCTAGTTTGTACATTGTCATAACTGTTGTTTTTTAGTAGATCTTGTCATATTTGTGCTATTTGTCTTGTCATTGTTATACATATTGTCAACCTACTGTCATATTTTCTACTATCTTGTGGTCCATAAACTAAACAGTACTTTTGTATTTGTTGTCTCATTTGTATTCATGTAAACGTCTACATATCTGTATTTATGTTGTGAAGTAGACAATTTAATTATTTTAAATTTTTCTTACACTTATTTATAACTTATAATTCATGTATCAACTTGCATTTGTGTATACATTCATTAACATGTAGATATATGAAATATCGTAAACTATTTTAATTGATAACCAAAGAATAAGGAGATAACTGATATACTGATACATAACAATATAATTTTAGTTACTCACATTACAAAAAAAAATGGCAGAGTACTTAGAATTATTAGAAGTAGGTGAGAAGCTTGGCTTGAAGCAGGAGAAATTAGCTGACTTCGTAACTCGAGAAATGGACAAACTTAGGGAAAAACAAGACAAAGACAAAGACCGAGAAGCTAGACTGTTAGAGAGAAGCGACCTTAAACAAATAGAAGAACTAAAATTAAAAGGACAAAAGGAAATAGAAGAACTTAAATTAAGAGAACAGGATATGAAATTAAGAGAGGAAGAAATAAAACTAGAAAGAGCTAGAATAGAATCAGGACAGCATACACCATCAACAAGCAATAGAGAAACCAATAGTACATACAAACCTAAATTTAGAGAATTTAATGAACATAAAGAAGAAATTATTAGTTATCTGTCACAATTTGAAGGCATATGTCAGTCTTACAATTATAGAGAAGAGACTTGGGCTAATATTTTATTGAGCAGACTATCAGGGAAAAGCCTAAGTATTATTAATTCACTCAGTGAAGAACAAAAGAATAATTATACCTATATAAAGAAAGTTTTGTTAAAGTTCTATGGAAACACAGAAGACATTTATAGAAAAAATTTCCACAACATAAGACTAGAGAGAGAAGTAGACCCTAACACCACCATATTCAATATTAGAGACAATCTTGTCAAATGGCTTGAATTAACTGAAATTGACCTAAATGATCCAAAAGCATTACTGGATATGTTTATCATAGACAAAATATTAAGAAATGCATCAGTCTCTTTATTTTCATTCCTTAAAGAGAGAAAGATTAAAAATGAGCGTGAGTTAGTTGACTCAATCACAACATTTAAAGATGCTCACCCCAATGAAGAGCTAGACAATAGAAACAGCACACTAGCCTCTATTAGAAACACACCCAGTGATAGGGACAGTCAAAAACAAAACACATATCAAAACAGAAGATACCATAGCCTGCCTGCCAGATGGCAAAACAATAAATTTCAGAAAAGTCATCAAAACAATTACCAAACACCATATACTAATTATTCAAACAACAACAAATGTTTCTACTGTGGCATTCCAGGTCACAAAAAATATGAGTGTAGAAAATTACATAGAGATTTAGGACATTCACAACAATACTATCAGAGAACATCACCTAACAGTAGTCCAATAAGACACAACAATACAAATAGGAGTAGACAACCATATAAAAATCAAAGATATAATTCCAATCAGACTAACAGTAGACAAAACACCAAACCACATGAAACTTTAGCTAGCGCATGTCACAGTGAAGGAAGTTTACAATTTTTTCCTTCTTATGTAAACAACCAACTTGTTCAGTGTCTAAGAGACACAGGTTGTACAACAATAATTGTAGACAGAAAATTAGTAAATGACAACTACTACACAAATGAAAAAGCCATAGTTATCCTAACCAACAATAATAGAATAGTATGTCAGAAAGCTAGAATCAAAGTTGATTGTCCATGGATCACAGGATCTGTAACAGC